TAAAAACAATTTTAAAAGCAAAAAACAATCAAAGAAGGAAATCGATAGGAAAGGTAAACAAGGAAAAAACAATTTCGAAAGTAAAAAAAACAGAAAAAGAAATCATTTCTGAGATTATAACTTCAATTGATTCTCGATTACAAATATTTGAAGAATATAAACTTCAATCTCCCAAGTATACTCCAGAATCTCCTATATATATTCCACAATCACCATCTACTCAGTCTAAGACCAAGTAGATTTTTTTTTATGTAACTTTGATTTAATCATTGTATTATCAAAAATGTATCAATTAATCAATTCTATTTTTATTAAACTTTTCGAATTATTTTTAAAATATTTTGTCGATTTTATTAAAATAAATCAACGTTTAATTGAAAACACTCAACAATGTCTTTTAGTTCCATTCTATAATCATTTTACAACGGTTGTTACAAACACAAGACAACATTTATCAGATATATCAAATGATCATTTAGGAGAAATTCTATCTTTTTATGATATTTTTATTAAAAAGTTAAATGAACTTAATTCTGTAAAAACGTTCACTGATTACAAATATCCTCTTAATGGAGGAACATGTTGGAATTGTAAAAGAATAGGCTATTCTCATTCCTGTTGTGTAGCTTGTAAACAGAAGTTAGAACAGTGTGATTGTAAGTTCATTTGTGGGCTCACATATCCAACACAGTATGATAAATATGGACGTCCATGTCAATTTGCAAAATGTAGGTACTTTACAAATGATTTGAATAAGGTTATTCATCAATGTAAAGGCAAGGTAGTTAAAAATGAAGTTTTTTTGTTTATAAATAAAAACGAAACTCAACTTTTCAATCTTAATGAACCTATCAATCGAATGTATTGTTATAAATATGATTCACATGATCATATGCCTTCATATTGTTCTCAAACTTATTATCAATATTTAGATTGATATCATGTAAAAATTTATTTTCTTATTTAATAAATATATCTAACTAGTACATTAGTACCAGTTAGAATTTTAATTATATAATTCTTATTTATCTAACTAATGCTAAAGAAATTAAATTGTGTAAAT